CAGGAAAAGATTCTTCACTGAGTGAGTGCTTGGTCACTGGAACAGGCTGTCCAGGGAAGTGGTCACAACACCAAGCCTGTCACAGTTCAAGGAGCATCTGGACAACACTCTTAGTCCATATGGTTTAGTTTTAGGTAGTCCTGCAAGGAACATCCTATGGATGCCTTCCACCTCAATACATTCTATGATTTATATACTGTGCATTTACCACAGATTTTAATTCCATTTTCTGGAAAAATATTATGACACATGATTCCTTCTGGCATTGGCTAATGAGACATCTGGATTTTGTAACAAGTGCTATCATCATTACATGCCAGGGCTTTGGGCAGTTGCCTGCAGGGGACTAGAACATTCTTCCCCTGCTCACGCTTTTTTGAAGCAGCACTTCTAAACGTGCAAGGAGCTCGGGATTTAACTCAAGCACAAATGAACAGGGAGACAGGCAGAACTGCTAACTGGTTGTGAGTGAAATGCAGTCTAAATTGCTCTAAAAGAAAAGTTAGGTTTTTTGATTGCTCTGAAGCACACAGAATGGTCTCCAGAGGGGAAAAACAAGTGGTACTTTTGTTAGATGCCTGTCTTGTTTGAAATACTGATCGCTGCAAGTGAAGTCAAGAAGGAATTTTTTTTTGCATTAGACTGGCAGGAATCTTAGTACTTTTTTTTTTCTTGTTTTCTGTGTTAAATTCCATATGGTTTAATTTCTAGAATTTTCTGACACAACATTACATATTTCCTTACTGTTATTGCATAACGCTGGTTTATTTTTAATGTGAATCATGCCGCCACCTCACTTATTCCATGGCCCCACAAGCAGCTGTGTGGAAATGAGAAGGAACTACAGGGGTATAAATGAGTAGCTGGAATGAAGGTGATAGAAGTACATCCTCAATCTCTCCATCTTTGTCTGGGCACACAGTTTATCCTCCTTGGGCCTAAAGTAGCTTTAGTTTAGTGTCTTTAAAAGTGTCTGTATGAAATATAATTGCCTGCAATAAACAGGGAATAGATTAAATGATCTCATTGTTCTTCCCGGATATAAACCTCATGAGACTCAATAGAGGTGATAGTTAACCTGAACCTTACCTTCTCCCTCAGGCTGTAAGGTTCTTTGTTGGGAAGGACAATTTAAGGAGTTTCCTACTTGTTCTCTTTTGTCCGTTACTGCCCCCTTTATTACGGCCATACAATTTTTTTTTTTTTGTTGGCCTATACTGTTTTTGTTGGTTGTGGGGGTTAGGAGGCATTAAAAGAGTAGGAGGATGTTCTCAGTCTGGGCAGTGTAGAGGTGAGGTATGAGTAGTTGTCCTTGAGAAAGGATGGTGGTTCAATATACTGCTCCTAGCCCAAGAAGTCGTAGCTGCTAGTTGCTCTGTGTTGCCAAGAAGTCTCTCAAAGAAAACTCACAGAAGAGAGAGCCAAGATGTGTGATCCCAGTTAATCTTTTCCACACTTACCCAGAGTCCTAAGATGTACTGGATTGGAGGGGATGCAGGGTGAGTTGGGAAAGGAAGAGCGATATTCTGAGGGAAGGGGGAGTGAATTTCAGTTATAGAACTGCTGCCCAGAGGGTAGATGTACACGGGGCTGTTCAGGGCCATGTGTACCTGTGATCATGGGGCTGATTATAGAATTCCCCTTTCTGCCTCAGAATTATGCTTCAGAAGCTAAGGTTTAATTTAAGAAAGTTTTTAAGTCTTGCATTTGCAGAGCAGCTTTCCTTAATATATCAACAAAGCATAAATGGATGCATTTATGTATAGATTTAAATTATATGTCTAAGAAATGTGGATCTAAGAAATTGTGTAATCTGCCTTTCTAGATCTTGTGAACTCAGCATTCTGTTGCAAAGAAATACCAAATTTTTGCATCCTTTCTATTCCTTGGTTTACGGATCTGACCACAAAAGGGAGTGAACTGGATTTAGTGCATGCTTTCTGAAGGGTTTGTGGGATGATGGAGGGTAGAATGGCTGCCTTGAAGAACAGGATTCCTGTTTGAAAACACAGTCATTGTCGGGGAGAAGAAAAATAGCTTGACAAAGGAGATCAGCTTTGAAAACAAGTAGTACATCAGACCTGGTGGCTTGGTAAAGGAATTTATTCAGGCAATCTGCAAGATCTGCCCATTGTAGACAGGGAGAAGGTGGTTAAGCTGATTTTCTTGGGTAGCATCACAAGCCAGGGAAAAGTTGAGAGCATAATGAAAATTAACCCTCAGTAATAAGGGTTAAATAGAGAATTGATTGCAAGATGTAGCCAGGTGCAATACCTGAATTGCATCTAATTATCTTAATAGACAAATAGCACAGAAACGAGTCTTAAGATAGCATGTATCATAAAAAGGCACATCTTTCACTGGTGAAGATTGCAAAGTTTGTCTGAAGTCGATGTTTCCAAATTACTCCAAGTTTCTGCCCTGATAATTATGCCTCATAACCCTTGGCTTGAGGATGGAGTAGGGTAAATGATTAAGCTTCTCTCTTTAGTTTTCACACTAAATAATGTGTGTGAATTCATAGTAGATCTTAGTTTACTACTTAATTTTCAATAAGCATCACACTGAAGACCTCGGACCTATTGTTTTGAGGGTTAGACAGAGGAGAGTCAGTCACTGTATGTACGTGCGATATGCATATAGTGGTATTTATGTGCGTTTACTATTAAGATTCAGCTGGATGGCCTATATAACATAAAACCAGCTATGGTGGTAATTAACAAAAATCAAGTAATTGTATTAATGTATAGAAGCTAAGAGGTGTGGAATAATTGTGAATTACCCCACTTTCACTAGAAGGAAGCTTTGCAATATTTTCTTCCTTCTTCACATACTGTTCTTTTTCTTGTGGGTTTCCCCAGCATGCAGTTTGCCGATGGTGAACATTTAGCGTAGATGAATTAGTATTTTTGCCTATATCCAAATGAGTATTGAATAAAAATTCAGATAGTTCCATTTAAGACAAGGTCTTGGGAAGAGACAAAATAGACTTTCCTCAGTTGTCTTGGGAAACACAAAGATGAATATGTTATCTCGGCAGAATAAATCTACATGGTATAGGAAAGCTGTAAGAAATGGAAAAGCACGTAAGAAATGTGTTTGCCACCTTCAAATGAACTTTTGTTGCTGACTTTGTGCAAATCATCTCTAGGTAGTAACCAGTCGCCCTCCTTGCCTCTTGTCCTACTTCTCATCTCATAATGCTACTAGTATTATTTGTAAATGGATTGCTGTAGCTTTAAAATACATTAATATTATCACAGTTAAATATAGTTTATCTATGCCTACAAGGCAGTAATCTGCTTAGGGTTCTGGTTCTCTTCATATTGTCTCTTTAACATTACTAAGCTGGTGGCTGGCACTTAGTAAGTAATATGACATCAGACAACAACTTCCTCAGTATAAATGATGTCTGAATAACCAACACTGCAAGGTCTAAACCAGCTTGTTTTTTTTCTGTCTGACCTTGAGTTCTCACTTGAAAATATTTGACAATGCTGCTCTTTTTTTTTTTTTTTTTTTTTTTTTTAATACCTGTTGGAGATATTTTTGTAACTGAAATCCTTTATAACCTCTCATCATGCATAGCAACCTCATTAGCACCAGCCAAAAACCTGGATTGTGCTGGGCCTGATTCTCATTTACATTAAGATCCTTATATGTCTGTCTGGCTAGATAAAGAACTTTTATACTGTATGTAAGTTACATATATGTTCACTTAAAACCTAGTATGAATATATATAGTGATTTGCACAAGCTTTAAGCACTTCATGCACTGACAGAACTCAATGTACATAAGTTCTTGATGTAAACAAGAACTAATCCCCTTCTCTCCTACTCCTAATATAGCTATTACGTTGGAGATAATTTGTGGTTTTGCTTGAAGAAATGCATACGTGTTTTTTTCATTTCCTTCAAAAACAGTTTAACTCCGAAAGATGCAGATGAGTGTCTTTCCTTTTGTTTGCCATCCTCCTTATTCCACTGTATTTGAGACATATAAATGATGCTGTGAGATAAAACTAAATTGTGTGGGCAGAAGAAAAAGGATCTGAAAAAAGCTTTGCTTCTCTGTGAAGCAGTGAGAGACTGACCTCATGTGGCGTGAAACCAAAGTTGCCAGGGGAAATACAACAAGGATAAAACTGAATAAACTGAGTATCTTTGAAAAATTAATTTTTGTCATGCATTTCTGATTTCTGTTGGATGCTGCAACACTTATATTTAAATAGTATTAGTTTGGATAGTTTGTAATGTGGTTGCTGAAAAGAAGTTAACCAGTGTCTGTATTCCCAAAGACTTTTTTGTGTCCTGAAAGGGAAGCTCTAACAAGCTGACCCCAAGACACCAGGCTTGGAGCTGAGGCCCAATTATCCTGGCTGCTGCCTGTGCGTGATTTTAATTGAAATGAGTAGGAGTTTCATGTGAGCAAGTGACAGGATAATCAGTCTTGGTTTCTAAGCCCTTTCTGGCACTTCCCCAGCAGCATGCTCACTCTGTGCCTTCGCAGCCTGGCTCTGTAAAATGAAGACAGTGGTTTTGAAAATTATGAAGTGGTACAATGCAGAATGGGAAGGGTGTTCCTAGTCTGTATATTTTTTACAAGCATGAATAATATTAATACTGAAGACTTTTGAGTCAATTCTGTTGGCCTGATTCATCAGTATATCCAGAAGTGTCCAGGTATATGGATAACAAAAGGAGGTACTGTTATTTTGAAAAATCTCCTTTTTAAATAAATAACATGTATTTAGTTTTAAAGAATTTAGGGGTAATGTGGCTTATGGACTCTCACGGGAAAATCTGCTTAAAAATCCTTTGGGCAATTCAGGTGAACTCTAAAAACTCTGTCCCCATCCTGCAAAGACTTTTCTGTATGCTTAATTGTACTCTTTTTGTTCTTTATGTTGACTTAAATGTCTGAAATAACAAAGGCCTGTAGTATTTTCTACAAGTACTCTGAGTTCTACATGACGAGCCTTCCATTTTCTTATTTACAGATCCTCTTGGAACCAGGGGTGATACAGGATGTCCTAGCAGCTGGAAGTCATTTGCAGCTGCTGGAGCTTCTCAGTTTATGTTCTCACTATCTCATTCAGGTGAGGCTTCTTTGCCTGATTATAAGCCATTTCTTTTTGGTAAACTTCTGTTTCAAGCCTAATTTCAGCTGGAGAATGTTAGTACAATGCCTGGTGTAACCTAAATGGCAATAAACTGGATTTCAGGAGACCTGAATTTTGAGTGTAATTTGGGTATCACTTTGTGGTTGGTGCTTTCTCCTTCCATCCATTTTGTCTGTTTCTGTCCTGCAAACAAGTATGGTCCACTGATTAGTATAAGCACACAAGAATTTGATTCCCACCTGTACCAGAGAATTCGCTTTCTTCTGCCTCAGTTTACCAAATGTTGAATATTTCCCCATTGCAAGCATGAGTGAGTATTGTGAAGCATTCAGATGCATAAATGTTCACAACAGAATATCGATGCATATTGCAGGGCACTACTTCCTCTCGCTGAAGGGGTAGGGCTTATTACAGTGGCACCTTATTCTCAACTGGCCTTGTGCCCATAATGCTGATAATATTATCAACATTAGGGCTCTCATTATGAAGCAAAAAAACCGCTGAATCCAGTAAAATATTTTTTTTTGTGCTTGGCTTGTATAGGAGATGGCTCACGATGGTAGCAAGAACATAGCTTTGATGTGTATCTGTGAAAAGCCTTATTAAAAAAAAATGGCAATAGCATTTCTACAGAACTGTTTCCTTTTTGTTGTGATTTTTCAGCATTGTTTCTGAAATATGGTGCGTTGGCTGTATCTGTGTAACAGTTGGGCATGGAAATGCACGTCAGCACAATCCTCTCCATACGCGCTCACCTTCCAACAGCATAACTGCCTTTGAACAGTCTGAGTGTGCTTGGCAGCACACGGAGCTACTGAGTACCATTGGCTTGCAGGATCTCATGTTAAGAGCTTCAGGACATACTTGAAGGCTCTGTGTCTTACGGGGAAAGAATCTGTTCTTTGAATGTTAACCTTAGGGAAGCCTTCAAAATGTATGTTCAGAGAATAAGGTGGTATTAATTTGTGCATTATAGATTGACTAGAAAGTTAAAGGAGCTGGTAGGGTACTGCAATTTGTATCAGTTTGTTTTCAGGAATGCAAGGAGGGATTTAATTTTTCTGAGAAAACAGACATGGAATGTAATGGGAAAGATGGTTGAAATAAGAAATGTGAGATGCCAAACAAGCCACAAAAACATTTGGCCTACCAGTTGTCAGGCGGGCATGGGAAGGAGTTACTGTAATGAGAAAGAAGATACAGGTCTAACATTGATAGTCATACAGTGTATTTAATGCCCTCTTAACAAATCAGTCATTGAGAGCATGTTTCTGCTGCTTACATGCTCTGTCTTTATCAGAAATGGAACCAAAGAGAACATTGCAGCAAAGAAACTAGGGGACATATTAAAGAGTAGGGAAGAAGCTGAGTATTGCAGTGCTGGTGAGGTAGGGACATGAGAGGACTGTAGGAAAGGAGCAGGTACGTGCCCAATGTAAGTCGTTGTGCTAACTTCTACTCGAGACAGGTCACAGAAGCCTTTGGTATTTGTAGCTTATCCCTCAGCACCATCTTAATACTTTTAATCTGGAGGTCACTGCAGTGGCAAGACAACTGGAGAGTTAGCAGTGCTTTGGATATCATCCTTGATGTACAAGCCATAGTCAAGTATTTAGGAACAGACTACTTAATGAATTTAAAAAAGCAACCCCAAAACCACACTACCCTCCAAAAAAAACCAAATGCCAGAGTGAGCAAATGTTGCTGCCAATTTACTCTAATTAACACACCAGTAAAAATTCTCTGGAGGTGACAGTCAATATGCAGTATACTCAAATTATGTGAAAGATGTCTGTTGTACTCTGAGTACTGTGCCAGGCTAGGGTAACTGGAGCTACAGTGGTGTAAAAATGAAGAGAAAGTGGGATCCAGTGTCCAGATTTACAATGATGAAGGTAGGGAATAAGGAGGAGAATATATGTGTTGGGAGACAGAAAGCAGCGGTAGTTCTGTGTTTTCAAATCAGGGTCTCGTTGTAAGGTTTTGAATCTGCATGGACATCTGTGGAACAGCTGTAGCTTGCATCATGCTGGGCTCTAGACTGTATTTTACTCTTTTTGAAGTATTTTTTAGCAGGTTCACCCCAGCAAGACGTATCTGCAGACAGATTAGCAGTCTGAATAGGTCATGGTAAGAATTTCTGTCGTTTGTTCTGCAGAGTTACAGTCCATGCAAGTAATCAACCTTGAGTAGTTGTGTAAGCCTTTTTAGCAGAAGTCAACAAAGTACTATGCATAAAGACTGTGATATCTTTCAGAGTCCAAATTAATTGTATCAAATATCTGTTTATATTCTACATACTATTGGGTGATTTTAAAAATATCTATTGCTTTATTTTAGTACTATCTAAAAATAAAATCTATGTAGTTAAAGAAGGCTTCCTTAAAGCCACTTATCCTTGCTGCTCTTGGTAACTGGAGTGTCTTGTCACCCCACATGCTATGATATAGATGCTGGGAAGAGAAAAATGCTTGCCCTTTCTCTTCTTTCTGATGAGTCTGAGTGCTACAGGGTTCTTACTTTACTGTACTAGTGAATTTCTTTCTTTCTGTTTCAAGTTGTTCAGGTTTAGCTTAGTTTAGCATATATTCAGGAAATATAGTATGTGGGATCTAGCTGTCATTTATTATTGCTGTGTAATGATCACACAGAGTTTTAACTTGTTTGGGTTGTCTTTAATTGTTTGGATTGGACCAGGCTTTTCCTGTATAAGAGTGCTGCTCTTGTTGTTAGAGCTTGTTTCAGTTCTTCTCTTTCTCTAGATGTTCCAGCTTGTCAGTTTTTTGGAGCTTGAGACAGTTTCATCTCTTCTTGATACTTTTATCTGGGGCTTGTAATTATTCTATTGATTTCAATAAGGATTTTTTTTGCTACGAATACAATTGACATGGCCCATACACATATCTGTTCCAAGGCATATTTGTAGTCTTTGAGGTTCCAAAGATGACTGTACTGATCTAATTAACTGAAGATGATTGTCGAAGTGTCTAATTGTCAAAGACAATTTGCAGTGCACTGGGGGCAGATTCATTTCCAGCCAACACTGACTTACATATGCACTGATCTTTAAGGAATTTTCTCTCAGTTGTCTCAGAATAAACAAGATGTTATTCTGACTATAAGACACATCCTCTTTCTTATAGACCAATCAGCTTAGAGCACTTTAATTTGTTGATAAATCTCAAAAAGATTTCTGTAGCTATTTGTTTGAATGTGATTATGGCATTTTTATGAAGAGTTTTTGATCAAAGGAAAAACAGGAAAAAGGTGAGGAACATTCTCCCCTCCTCCGCCCCCTCCAATTAGGTAATATCCGTCTCTAAGACTTTTATGATAGCGTGACGTAATGCAGGATTCTGACAACACTGCTAGTTTACTAGATGTGTTTTGTCATCTATAAACTTCACGTTATCAAATGTTCTGTAGCATCTAATGTTGATTCTGTTTTTTCGTTGGAAAACTCATTCTCATTTTGGATTGATAATTTACTATTTTTTATTTTAAAAGAATTGTAGATCATATTTTCTCTACTTGCAAACAAGAGAAATACCCAAGCATTCCTTACTCTAGGTCTTAATTCCAGCTTTGTGTTGTGCTGACTTCTCCTCCCCCCTCAGCAGTGTCATGTCTTTAATTATGATTACTCCTCAGCCTTTGCTGTTTGGGGGTTTTGTTTTTAGCTTCATTGGTAGAGGGGAACTTTTTTGAAGCATGCTGATATATTTTATTTGAGATACATACATATTCATGAATCTCTTCGATCATGTCATCTACATAATTCTCAGGTACTTTAAACGTTGAAACAATGAAATCTCGCACATCCATCTCAACCTAAACAAACAGTAAGTCAACGTGATTGTTCTTAGCTGTATTGCTGCTACGTAGGTGTGGGAAAGCTAAGCTGAAGATTTGAGCTTTGTGTACCTTGAATTGCACTAAGGTCTGTGATCACGCACACAGCATTTGCTTGCAGAGTGCACATCCAGTTCTCTAAGATTCTTGTTTCCTGAGTTCCCGTTCCAGCTCAGATTGATTGTCAGTTTTGGCTGAGGTTTTTTAAAGGAGTCTAACGCGGAGAGCTGCAAGCAGCAGGCAGACTTTGAAATGAAACAGGTTATCTGAATGTCTTGTTTCCCTTGAAAGTTTTAGCCTATAGAGTTCCAGTGGACCACAACTGTCCTACTATGACATTGGAGAAGGCAAGAGAAAGATAGTTGAAGGTGTTGAATGTGAGGGAGATATGAGAATGGACTTCTTAAATGGAGCTATAGAGAACATGGTATTAGGGAGTGTTTTTGTGATGACCTATTTTGTACTTGAAAGCTTGTAGATGTTTTTCTGAAGGGTACATGACGACTTTATTCTTATGAAAGAGAATAAATATGTTAAAAGATTTATTCAGAGTGTAGAAATGTTTGTTTCATAAATAGGTCTGAGTTACATAACTGATTGCGGATGTAAGAAGTTTTGTCTTTTTCCTCAGCTGTTTGTGTATTCAGTACCAAAGAGAGCCACAAACTGCAAATTACTTCAACAATCAAAGAGTCTTAGTAAGGAGGGAATGCTATTGAGAATACGAGTTTTTAATGGGATTTCCTTCTACTGATCAACATCAACTCAATATTGTGTGGGTATAGCTTTAGTAATCAGTTTTAAAACCAGAGGCTTTTTTCCACCAGCAGTCAGAGACCTGGGACATAAAATTGTCCATATTTGAAATCTTAAAGCTAAGGATTTTTTTGTGTTTTCTACAAGTCCAATATTATTGTTTTCAGTGGAGTTCTATATACCTCCTGAGTTACATTCAAGGTGATAGGTGTGAGTGAGGGGTCTAGAAATTGCAGAACTGTCCAAAGCAACCCACTCGTTTCTGAGAGGCAAGACATGGCATGGTTGTTAACACTTAGCCCTTTAACTTTCTGCTGCCAGATCCAGCATATTTTGTGAAGAACAAATTAAATTTACGTGCTGGACAG